CAAAACCCTAGCACCGCATAGCAGAGTGAGCTCCCGTTACTTGTCCCAGCTTCTGCCAACCTAGCAGTTCGAAAGCACGTAAAAATGCAAGTAGATAAATAGGGACCACCTTTGGTGGGAAGGTAACAGGAGTTCCATGCGCCTTCGGCATTTAGTCATGCTTGCCACATGACCACGGAGACATCTTCGGACAGCACTGGCTCTTTGGCTTTGAAATGCCCCCTAGAGTCTGGAACAACTAGCACATATGTGTGAAGGGAACCTTTACCTTTATGTATAACAAAAAAAATACATAAGGTTTGCCCACATCTTTACATTTTGGAGGTTCCATCATTTTATGATATTCATTTATCATCTGCATTACTGGATTCTGGGCCAACTGCAGTTCCTGAACCATTTTCAAGGCTACCTGATATACTGTATGACAATAACCAACACTAAAGTTCTCAGTTATGGCTCAATCTATCCTAGGACTGTCTCTTCCAAGTATGGGTGCATGTAATTTATCATAAAAATGGAACCTTGCAGGATGCCCTTGGAAAAATCGAGCAAAACATTCCCAATCTTAAAATAATAGCTAGTAATGTATGAGTAAAACTACTATAAAGTCATGCCTCTGGTCTTTATCTCTTCAAGCATTTCAAAATGATATTGTCAAAAGTGTGAAAAAAGCCCTGAAGAATATAAAGAGGCTTAATGTTCCCTGATCTTTCTACATATCTTGGCCATTCATCTGAAGACCAAGACAATCTACATTCCAAATTCAGGACAGGACATAGGGGTATCAATGGATCAATCAACTGGCTATTTCTTCTTCCCCCGTGTTTGATGATAACTATTGGAATGACTACTTTTGCCACACTAACTTTTCTTCTTGGTTGATCTCTACCTTATCAAAAGCTACCAAGAATATCCCCTCGGGATATTCTATTCTATTTGTCCTCTTTGCTCAAAGTTCAGTCTCATTGCCTTTTTAAAGTACTATCAAATATTTCATCTTTACTATTATTATGGTTCATCATACAGTCAGCCAGATTTTTAGACTAGATTCAGCATTTTTATCAACCTACCCTTCCAAAGGACCTAGGATATTCCAAATGTGGAATATTATTATTTATTGGATTTATGTGCCACCCACAGTGGTGTATTAACCATTAAGCAGACTAAGCATGTGTTTAGGGAACCAGGGCTAAAGGGGGGAGCACAAAGTTGAGAAAGAAAAAAAAACAATGAAGATTTGTGCAGTATGTACAAAGGAGGTGCACCGAGATTTGTCAGTGCTTAGGACACCAGTGAGCCTTAATCCCCCACTGGCCACCCATCTTCTCCGGAAGAGCCAGATCTTCAGGCTCCTAACTGAAGGTCAGAAGGGTTGGTGCCGATCTACCTTAGGGGATACGGTATTCCAAAGGGTAGGAGCCACATACACGCCAGTTCTGCCAAAAAAAAGTATTTAAAAAATCTGAAGTTACTCATTTATCTAGAGGTTAATCAGACACCGTGACCCGACAAATGCGCGCACGACAAGAGCGCGCCGATGAAACCGCGGCGAGAAAACCGCAACATCATAAACACGCCCACAACAACACGCCGACAAAACCACGCCCACAAAAG